GAAGTAGGGTGAGACGGGTTGAAGTAGGGGGTGGGTTGAAGTTGGAAGGTTGCAGGGTTGAAGTAGGGTGGGTGGGTTGAAGTAGTGTGAGGTGGGTTGAAGTAGGGGGTGGGTTGAAGTTGGAAGGTTGCAGGGTTGAAGTAGGGTGGGCTGGGTTGAAGTAAGGTGGGTTGGGTTGAACCAGGGTGGAGTGGGACGCTGAAAAAATTGTTAGTCCTATCAAACATTGCACCACTTCCCCTATCAAAGCAGAGGCATTCCAATAGGAAAATGCTATATGACATCTATAACTCAGGGTACATGAATGGATAGTCCTGTACAATTGCCTAGGACCAAGAACATTTCGGGTCCTATCGATCTACAACCTACAGTGATATCAGGAACAAGTAAAGCTCTAAGTGCAATGTCTTTTACTTGTAGAAGAGATGGCGGAGGAACAACACACGGCCAGAGTCGAGTTTTACAAAAGAGTCGGTTTGTGTTGAGTGTTGGTCGAACTTTGAGATCGCAGATGTCAATGCATTTCGACCAGGACAAATTAGTATTCTTCCATTTTAATTGTGACATTTAGCCTGCACCGCAATAAGTAACGAATAGCTACTGTTTTGCACATTATAATATACTTCTACAGACTTATCAAGTATCAGATTAAACCAAACTTTTCTGTCTTAAATTCACGGTCAACGTTCAAATTATGCTATATTGTGGAACACGGTCCAAGTAGCCGTTACACGTAGGCCTTATTCCCGTATGTATTAAGCAATCAGTCGTTCTTTTATCAAACCATTCCTTATAGGGCACGTTCCTTTCAACGCAGAAACTATTGTACAAACACCCTCAAACAACACGTTATTCGACATCAGGTAGCTCGAACACTATTCACTTAACCTCGAATACATGTTATTTGCACTGCTGCATGCGTAGTTGCAGGGGCCGAGTCTAAATATTGAACTACTCTAGAAGCTCACACAACTTTGCCTGCCTTTTACGTCTTATTCTGATCAATTGCGTTAGATTTCTTTCGTGAATTCGGCGAAAGTGTTTTACTCACCTGCTGAGCGAGATTCTGTACGTGATTTGTTGCTGTCCGGCTAATTATGGGTGAAGTATTTCCTTGTCAATCTTACCAAATGGTATTCTTACTCCACTGTACAAAAGTCACTCCTCTCAAACTCTGTCACCTCTTGCAAATCACCGTAATGGTCACTCCCCCGTGATCTAGCGGTCACTCCCTTCCTTATGACCACTGGACTCTCAGTGGCGTGACCTATGACTCAAATACCCCTTACCTGACCGCTGCTAGAGTCGGGTTCTGATGCAGTGAATGGGTGGACCTCCTTCATTGGTCCAGCCCCGCTGAGTCTCAGCGTGAGTGACGTAACCTATCAAAATAGAGGAATACACCCTCCCATACAGGTCGTAACGAGCCAGAAGAGAGGTTCTCCGGAGGAGATCCAAGTCAGAGATACGATTGTGAACCTGGGATTGTTATAACGCGGATATCTCAGTGCAGTGAATGAAATCGATACTGAATGCATATATATTTTTCTGGGGGAGAAGAAAAGATAGCATATACGTGAAGAATGCTACAGGTGAGATTGAAAAACGCAATGATTAGTTTGGTTCTCGGGCCTGTGATTTACGTCAAATTTTGATGTGAAAGTCGGAAAATGCAATCTGTCTTGATGCATTTTAGTCAGTGGTGTTTCTTGACTATGAGATTATTTTTCGTCTCAGAGTGAACTCAATATACATTCATTCTCTTCTTTTTCTGTAACGAATCCATACGTGTCTTTTTAAAGACATTAAAATATGGACTATTACTGAATAGCCCAACAATATCCTCTATGAAAGTAGCCTGAATAGCAATAAAAACATTAAAAAAACATTGACTTTAAGACATAAGGGCAATTTCTGTATCAAGATACAAGACGATCTGTTATAGATAAGCATTTTAATGACTTGCTTAATATGTTACGTATCATTTTTTACTTCATTTAATGTAAAGAGTATTGGGACCTACCAGGCCTCCTTTGCTCAATCTACCACATCAGTTTTGATGCATTTTGTATTAAAATATTGGATCAGGACTAAGCAACATTTGGAATAGAGGAAATATTATAGACCTAACGATCTGTATAGCAATAATCTCATTTCATGGTTCTTTTTTAAAAAGGTTATGACTGAAATTCACAAATCTCTTTTCAAATTACGAGAGTGACTAAAAAACAAGAAACATGAAACGCAAATGCTGGATTATGGATTAAAATTCTGTTTAGGGTTTAAGATATGCTCTACCCTGCTGGTAATTCAGAGACCCCCCCACTTAAAATGAAATATTAATAATTATAAAAACAGTGTTGCTATTCATAAATATATAACCCTCACTGCGAGCCCTAGATGACGGAGTCACTAAATAAAAACATGGAGACAAGACACGATACTCTGCGTGTTTTCAGTTGACCTCCTCAGTCTTTTGACTTTCATCGCTCGTGACCTTAGTTCCATTGCTGTTGACCTTCCACAGAAATATTTCGAAAAATAATTACCCGAGACAGCCCAGGGCATGATGACCTAGTATAAAATCAAGCGAGGAAAGTAAAGTCAGAAATAATAACTGACTAGAGAGTGCCGTTCTGCTGCGAAAAAAAGCAGACGTAGTTTATACACTAATATTTTCCTGATTGTTTTTCTCTTACGTTCTGTCGAATTAAACGTGTAGTGGATTGCGCAACAGAAAGAATCCGTCACATTTTGCGTGTCACTTTTGTATTGGGACGGACACTTAAGGGGGATTATCTGACAGTAATCTAGTGAGACTCCCCGCGGTGATAGATCGATCTAAAAGTTGTGAGAACAGAGCCTAAGACCGCGTTCAGATTCAAATATCAATTCCAGCTGGATCGATCCAACTCTGCAGGGTATTCTCGCTAAAGTGCATTTAGTGTAATTAGCTGATTTGCCCGCCCGGCCCCTTGAGTTGCTAGTTAATTAATTGAGGAGTGGTGTTAGACATATAAGCCGATTACAGTGATTGCACTTAGGAAGAATCTCCCACGGAGTTGGATCGATCCAGTTAGTCCGACGGGTTATCTGAATGCACCCTAATACGAGACGAGATTCTCAATACACGATATAGTGTTTTTCTTTTATCGCTGAAATTGTCACCCTGCATGTTGCGGAAACCCTTTCTAGTCCATATATGGCGTCACTGAGTTCTAGGTCAACGCGTATGGTTTTCATTGTCTTCTAGACATAACTTAAAATGTCTATAGAACAAATTCAAGAAACATCGCAAGACTCCAGGCCCAAAATCCCCACTCAAAGACAGCCTTTGTTTTTCTGAGACAAATTTGTTACAAGACCTTCTCACCTTACCGAACTTTTCCGCGACCGTGCGTCGTATGCATACCCTATTTGAATTCACGTCATGATACGTTGGAACGCAATAAGAGTAATATCTTAATAGCCAGTTATATATCTCTGTGTTTAAAAAAACGGTGCTTATATAACTATGTATAGCGGTAATATTGAATAATGTTAGGCAAATTGATTTGATGGATTCGAGGATATGACTAACGGCACTATGTCATTGGTGATTTGAGAACAAACCGGAGACGTAGAAACCCACACTAGAAATAAGACCTGGATGCTTGACAGCTGAAGCAACGTTACCGACTGAGATACTTTGTCAAGACGGGAAGACACAGAGTGCATTGCGACTGGCGTCTACCACATAAAGTACGATGCCGTAGACGCTTACATCTACCACAAGAGCGACGCCGGGGCCATTCGTCTTTGCAGGGAACTCGGATGTTACTTGTATAAAAGCGATGGAAACGCTTAGCAATAATAACAGCGAATACATTAACAGTACCAGCATTACCGGTGAATTTGATACCTGGAATGACAGTGTCATTTTCAACAACAGCATCAGCAGCAATAGCAGTGTAAACAACAGGGGATACAACATCAGTGACGTCATCACGGCCGGGGTGTCCACACCTCCTTATATTCTCATATGGGTCTCCGTGTGCCACGTGGCGATTTTCATCCTGGGGGTCGTGGGCAACACGATGGTCTTGGTGGTCATCTGGCGGACCAAGCAGATGCGGCGGTCAACGGACGTGTTTCTGGCCAATCTCAGTTTGGCTGACCTCCTGCTTCTGGTCATCTGTATGTCCACCGCCATGGCCGAGTTTTACGCCAACGAGGCGTGGCATTTGGGCGAAGTTATGTGTAAGTGAAGTTATCCGTGTGCTATATATATTTTTTGTGTGTGTTAATCAGTGGCATGTCTTGTGCTCGTGATGTGATGTGATTTGATTCAGGGGCGGATTTAGGCCGTCTTCTGGGTCTTCCGGAAGACGGTCAGATTTTCAAGTTTACATACAGGTATCTAACTTTTTCTGTCAGAAGACGGTCAAAAATGAGGATGGATCAACAAATATAATTTGGAAGACTGTCAGAAAATATCTCTGGATCCGCCCCTGTGATTTGAGTTGAGTTGTCCTGAAATATAAGTAGAACCCTCATATTTGAGACATGAGTGATTTTCTCGTGTGTGTGTGTGTGTGTGTGTGTGTGTGTGTGTGTGCGTGTGTGTGTGTGTGTGTGTGCTGTTCTCGCTTCATCTTCAAGGAAGCAACTTAAGGCTTTTCTACATCTTAGCGAAGCATAAGCACTGGTAGCTTTAGAGAAATTGACAAATGAAAAAACCCAGTCTTTAAGTAATAGAGCCATCTGAACGCCGTCCCCACGCACGATAAGGTAATTTATCAACTTCCTAGTAACTAAACAGCAGAAAACCAACATATAGAGAACTCATGAAAGGGAGTTAGAGCGCATTCAGAACATATGATCCGTGAACTAACTGATCCACCGGATAAATATGGCCGATCCCACTTAAGTGCAGCAGCGCCGTTTAACCCCTTAATGGTCTCGCTGCCTCCACACGAGACATTAAACGGATTAAAATCCCAGATGTAATTGCAAGACCCCTGCAGCGACAGTGCGTGTGGAAGCGCGGAGGCCATCAGGGTGTAGTGTTCACAAATATAATTCCCAGACATGTAAATTAATTTGATTAGAGTCGAATGCTTGTGCACTCGACTCGTTTTATGGCCTTACCTGAAGTCATGTAACTTAAGTGGACGTGTGCAATTTGAATAATTAAAATTAGTATGTACCGCCAAATACTGCAGCACAGAATCCACCTAAAGATAAGAAATAGGTATAAAAGACGTATAGAATTAATATCGGGGGTCAGACTGAAGAAGACTCGAAGGAGACCGCTCGACGGAGCCATGGGAGACGGCTTAGAAGTTGCAGGCTTCACGTAGAGCATGTAGTTAGGGATCGTCAACTAATAAACCATTTAACTGGTCATTATGTTGACTTGGGTTTTCTTTGCGCGCCCTTACGTAAATCTGACACGAACTGTGGAATTTTGAATTGCGTTATCCACTGAGTAAGTCTAAGACGTAATGTCCTATTTCGAGCCCACGCTTGAATTAAGCGTACAAAATTATGGGGATTGGTCGGCGCTGCTTTTAAGTGAGTCGGCTATATTTTGTCCTTGGATCTGCTAGTCCGCGGATCAACAAGTTCTGAATGCCCTCTTAGTCACTATTAACGTTATTACATAGAAAAAATCTCTTAAACCAAACTGGTACAGATAGAATTCTCGAGGAGAAAAAAGGTTTTCAGTGTAAGAACCAGACAGCTGATAAAGGAGTGGACCCATTTTTTTTAAACAATGCACAATGCTTATTTCGCTATTTCATCTCCGCAAGGACTTATGAACCTCATCATTGATTTCCGATTTCCTCATATTTCATGTCAGTTCTTCATCTGCGTACCTTGGTCACAGGACTGACTCTGGAAGGGACTGACGTGATCGCAAACGGTGTTGTTGCCTTGTGCAATTGTTGAAAATTTCAGAAAAAAAATAAACAAAGTGATGTAAATGATAATCGAGGTTAGCTATAAATCCAATAAGCGATCGGGTGGCTGAACAGTAAAGGTTTTTTCCATTGCAAGTTCGGCCAATTTTTTTTTTTTTTTTTTTTTTTTGTGAAACTGCTCCTAGTGCCCAAATGTGCAATAAAAATTACAACTCCCCAAATTTAGCATTGTCGTCAAGGAAATATCAAGTCGAGACGAGTTTTTATGTCTGCACTCAAAGGCAATCTCTCTCTCTTTCTCTCTCTCTCCGCTAGTCAAAATGACATAAAGGAAATTAAAAAAGTCATCTCTGTCAATAAATCGAAAATTCTGCGGTAGAATAAGGCCATTGGATATCGGCCTTGAGTTCAGACAGAGAGATATAGACTGCGTTCCCATAAACCCATCGTACAAGATGGATCGATCAAAGTCTGCGGGGCTTGTAGCTAAATGCTGTCAGTGTAATCGATCCAGCTAGAACGATGGGTTTATGAGAACGCTCGCATATTCAGTAGTTTATCCAAATGATACCCCTTACTGTACTGGTGAATGTTTATTTTATCGAGCAAAGTCTGTACCGATCTAAAATGCAAGAGTTATAAATTGTTCTGAAACTTTTTTTTACTTCCGTGTTTCAAATCTCTCTCTCTCTCTCTCTCTCTCACACACACACACACACACACACACACACACACACACACTCGCACACACACACACACACACACACACACACATACACACACACACACACGTTCTCATATTAAATAATATCACATACAAAAACATTATATACTTGATACGTACTATACATGCATGTACTAAACAGGCATTTATTTATTTACTAGCTTAGGGAAGCCGGAGCGTTTCTTTTTCATGTCCTTTCATAATTAATGATCCCTGGCAGAAAATATTGAAACGTAACCTGATATATAGCGCAGGGAGTCGAATGAAGTCTGTCTATCTGTTTTCCCATTTCTAACGAGGATTTTTTGTCGGTGAATGCCATCGTCTTATTACAAAGGTGGATCCCTAGGGGGGTGGGGCAGTACCTGCTGTCCTTTAGAATCTGAGAGCCCCCTCGCTCTCTCTCTCTCTCTCTCTCTCTCTCTCTCTCTCTCTTACTTTATCAATAATAAAAAAGGAGCAAAACTGGACCGAAGTGGATTTCTGTGCCCTAGAAATTAATAGTAATATTTCTCTTCTACTATTTAACAATTCTGCATCTTTGAACTCCCCCTAGCAAAATCCTGGCTCCATCAATGACCCCCCACCCCCACCCCTCAAGTGCCTGAATTAAAATACCATGTTTTTCTCTTTATTTATTTTATTTATTTATTTATTTATTTATTTATTTTTCTCTATTTATTATAGTGTGCTGGTAGAGCACAGGTGATTTATAAACCGAAGCTTTAGGTCAGTATTAAATATAGTACATGTATAATTGGCAAAACGTCGGGTCTTTTTCCGGATTGATGTTGGACTTACTTATTTGCACGGAACATTAAACTGGTTCAATGGCACTTGCCATATGACATCTAAATCCTGATCCGTGGATGTTTGATTGAACGCTAGGCCAAACAAATCTGATGGCTTGAATAACGAACACGACCGACCCTTATTTTGAGGAATTAGAATGATATTGCACCTATTTTTTTTTCAAATGAAAAGAAATTAATATATTGGTTTGGTCCGTGGGGAAATTTGCTATTGACGCTAGAAAAGAATCTAAATGTTATTTATTCATGGTCTGAAATCACCAAGTCTGTCTAGATCTGACATTTCTTCGGAAGAAAAAAGGAATTAAGCTTTTATGCTCTTGAAATATCATATGTCCCTTAACAAACTTATCAATTATCTGCCTTCCACGTACGGTGGCAGTCTTTTCTCTGTGGAACTAGCAAATACGCCATTCAGCTGTGTTATACACTGAAAGTTACAATATTACATTCTGTAATCAACAGCTTAACTCAGGTTTTAATTTCAACTCCACAGTTGCAGTACTTGTATCTACTTGTACTTGTATCCCATAACCCTTTCGCACTAGCAGGATCGATCTAACTCCGAGAGGATTTTCGCTAACCTGCATCCAGTTCAAGCGGTTTTAATGTCCGTCACGCCCACTGAAGCTGCTGGGGGGGGTAATTAACTTTCGTGCACGCTTAAACTGAATGCAATTTAGCGAGAATCCACTCGGAGATAGATCGATCCTGCAAGTACGACAGGGTTATGGGAATGGTCCCTTACACGACACCTCTAACACTGCAAGTAAGGTACATGTAACACGTGTATTTTTTAACCTCTAGCCTTGTATGACTACGAAATACTGGAATGGAGTGAAGTGAGTGATGAAGTAGCATTTTTAATTTCAACGTTATTTGTTTTAATCAATTTTTCCATTTTTAATCATTTTCTTTTCTTTTTCTGGCCTTTTTATTAATTATTTACGTTGAATTGTAAAGTCTACTTTACAAATTTGGATTTTAGACTAAAAAAAATATTTTTTAAATTAATAATTATTATTATTTATAGTGATAACCCTGAAATTAGCTGTTGGATGAAGAAGCTACTGTTGTAACCTCGTGATACAACAACCAGTAGCGTTAAAGTCATTTGATATGCCTGTAGGAATTTCATTTCCTCAGTGTAATGTCACGGAACGACCTTACCGAGGACGATATTAATTTGGCGTTTGGAAACACGCTTATATATTTCACAAATTGATACCTATTTTTTTATCTTTCTCTTCCCATCGCCTTCGTTCTTCCCGTGCTTTCAAAATATGCGGAGATCAGTTACAGACTCGGTGAATATCTCATTGGTGATTAATTGTCATTTCTAAATGAGTGAGAAGCATGTGCAAATTTAACTACTCCAGGGGCAAAATTGCTATTTGATTCTTACTAATTCTTACTATTATACATGCATATGACGTGTGTAAATAGATAGAATATAGTCAGATAATGGCATTGGGTAACAAGTACCGACTTCTGTGTTGAAAGCTGCTGCCGCCTGTAGCGTACTTTATACAGAAATGCCCGTTGCGAACTGAACCAGGACACGAAAGAGAGAGAGAGAGAGAGAGAGAGAGAAGATAAAAGAGAGAGAGGTCTTGAATTACGTTCTAAACCCCAAGCTTATTAACCCTGTTTTTGATGTTTATGATGCATTGCAAGCGAATGTTAATACAATAGCGGGAATGTCGTTTGGTTATAGACGAAAACATAAGTGTTTTAAAACAGACAGACAAGTTAAACCGTGATGCGAAATCTTCAGAAAAACGTGTTTTTCAAGATTTCCTGTAATAGAAAAAGAGCTGTCATAACTATAAGTGATCGGTACATCTAAATTATAAGTGATCGGTAATTTGGCTTTGAATTAGTCAATGGTTAATGCTGTTCTAAAGTGGTTTCCTCTTGCTTGACACTTACGATGTTCAGCATTTGCAACAATTTTCCTTACTTGTACTTAACGTTGACATTCTTAAGTTTCTGACAGCTTCAGGTTGGTCTTCCAGATTTTGAATCCTAATAAAGGCTTGAATACCGTTTACTAGTACGCCCATGCCATCGCCTCATAGTCCTGAACGACCAACTGCCAAAAGGGGGCGTTTTCATTTTTCAAAAGTGTTGTGCGTTGTTCGGTTTTAAATACGCGTCCTGAGCACCCAACTCTCACTCCCCAGCACTTTCAAAACAAAACGAAACACCCCACTTTTTTCGTCATGAAAACTGTTCCTTGGCGGCCAAGCCATGACCAATAAGACATTTAATTA